GTGGGGGGGGGGGTGTTGACAGTTAGACCGGGTGTCCTTGAGAACAAATAGGAACCCTGGATGTGATGATACCGAAAACTGAAAAATGCTTGAAGATGCGGCCACAGCAATGAGCACCAGGCAGCTACTCTGAACACAGTGTCTGCATCTTCGGACAGAGAGAGGAAGAGGAGTCAGGTCAGGGCCAAGTGACTTCTCCCATCCCCTCCTTCCAGAATTGCAAAAAAAGCAAAGCACAAGGGGAGCCTTCCAAGCCTCATTTCAATACTGCACCTTTCCAAGTCATTTTTAGTGACCTAAACAATGACTACCTGAAGTAATTTGAGCAAGCAACTCCACCGTTGGGCCAGAAAAGCCAGTTTCAATTCTTTGGAGAAATAACAAACCCCTCAGCATTTGGCTTCTTAGTTTTATTTGCTTGTGTATTCAACATCTAAACGTGTGTGTGTGTGTGTGTGTGTGTGTGTGTGTGTGTGTGTGCCTACAGCAAGCAAACTCACCAGATGCATCCCCAGGACACCCAAATATGAAGAGTACAAGACCGCAGTAGCCTGGCCAGTGCACACAATGGAAGTGACAGCTTTCAGCCCCTCCAGCCCTGATCCCTGGATTCCAACTCCCTACTACCTCCTCCCAGCACCTCAGGAGTGGGGAGGAAGTGTCCAAGAGAGCCGAACATTCTCCCTGTTCCTCCCTGCTCCTCCCAGGCCTTTCTGGGAAAGCCTGGGGACAGAACTGCCCACCTCCTGACAGCTTGTAAAGTGAAGAGTCAGCTTTGGGCTTTTGAGGAAGGACTGGAAGTGCCCGGCCACTCCCATCCCCGGATCCAGGATGATGACCCTAAGGGCAGAGCTTCCTCCATCTTCTAGAAGAATATCGAAACCAGGCAGAGTTGGAAAAGGAAGGGAAGGGAAGCAGCCAGGTGTGTGACAACCTCATCTTTTCACCTTCCTCGGTATTTGTATCTAGTTTCTGTTTCACTGCTGCCACATATAAGAATCTGTGACTGTGCCTATTTCTTAATGAAATTCCGAGGGCAGCACATATGATTAGTGACAGGCTTTTGTAAGCCATCTGATAAGACAACACTCGAAAAACATTAGGCTTTAGAACTTAATCCATTTTAAATAAAGATATTTGTGCTTTGTTTGTAGATTTATGTCTTTAGAGGTGTATTTACTTTATGGTCTGTTACACCTAAAAAAAAAAAATCAACTTTCTTTTCAAGAAGGTAGGTCTGCTCAGGAAAAAAAGATTGTACTCCTAAGCTGTTTTTTACATATATACATACTTTTATAACTCCTTTCTCAAATAGTTTCTTTTACAAAGAGTGTGCTTATTTCTAATTATCTCCATACTGCTTAATCACTGGGACCCAAAGTAAGCTACTAAGATGAAAAATTCTGAGGCAATACAAACCAAAATGCTAAGTTATCAATCACAACTCATTTCTATCTTTTTTTAAAAAAAATCCTAATTATTAACATTTACAAAGGCAAGGGAGAAAAGTGCTGGCGGAGGCACCTTCCAACTCCAACTCCAACCTCTGACAGAATCGAGCTGGTTAAAAGGCTTTGGAATTCTTAAACTCAGTTTAGAGAGTTTCCCCCTGAGACCTTCAAGAGGTCACCGTGTACCAAGAGTAACCACGGCATCTGGTCAAGGCAGAGGAACCTGCCTCACAGCTGAGTTTACCAAGCTAAGGTACACGGTACAGACAGCCACAAGTTCTTCAACTGAGGACTGGCTGACCGTCTGGTCACCTACAATCTCCCTCCCAAGATCCACTTCCTCAAATTATCCCTGCTTGTGTTTGAGCATTTACAGACTAGTTAGGGTTACTGGCTTCCCGACCCCTGTGCGTTCTCAGGCTGTCGATAAGCCCTCACCGTCTGCTCAGTCTCTGCTAAGCTGCTGCCTAAAGTTCCGTGAGCAACTTGGAAAGTTGCTATAAAAGCTTGAAATAGAGACACATTAAATGTTTTTTGGAGCACATACAGACCCGCCTAAAATGTAAACAGAATACCTGCTGCTGGCCCAGGCTCTTAGAAAATGAGGAATGACGGAATGGGAGCGGTGGAATGGTCTTCCTACAGATAACAAGGGCCATTTCAGTGAGATGCTTGCCACCTCTGCCTGCATCTTGGCGAGTTCAACAGTGCAGTAACTTTGTTGTCTGAAGTCAGTGGTGATGACAGGAGGCATCCCGTTTTAAAAAGAAGAAAACACAACCAGAGGAAATGGAGATAAGGTTTCTGAGGAAGTTCTCCTTCCACTGGATGGTCTTTTGCTGTTGCTCCACCTTAAAGCGGCTTCCAAGATGTTTAGAATTTCCCTAGATTTATGGTACTTTTCCTTTAGTGAAAAGACAATACCTTCTCCTCACAAAGGTTCTCTGTTTGCACGCACGCTAAGAAAACAAAACAAAACAACCCCCCCCCCAACAAAAAACTGCCTAAGGGCATCCTTTGTCACCTAAGAATATGGCACAAGTCTGCCATTTTAGAGATGAAAAAAACTAAGACTAACCATAATTAAGACTGGGTTTGGGTTAAGGGCTCCTAACAGATCACAGTAGACAATTAAAGGGCCTTTTGAAGGAATCATAGCAAGAGGTAGGCAGGGATGCTCACACAATCTGGCAGATTGAATTCACTCCCCAAACTCAATTCTTTGCTCTAAAATGAATGTCAATCAAAGGGCTGCACTGGAAACTGTTGGGGGAATAAAGCTCTACTGCTGGACCAGTGGGAACAGAACACATCTTCCTACCTTGTCAAAGAATGGTCCTAACTCCATCAGGACTCGGCAGCCATTCCTGAACCGAGGCAAGGGATTCCATTTACAGTTCAAAACTGAGCTAAGTATTATTTTCCTGACATTAGACCTTCAGAGTGATTCACACACAGGAACTGTCTCTGGAGCAGGAGCCTCTGTTTCACGGAACCTATTAAATTATCTCTTCAGCAAGTTACCCACTAGCCAAGTACACTTACATGTAAGTACTATTACTTTGCAAGTATATGAAGACTCTGCTATAATTAATGATAATAAATGCCACTAACATGCTATTATGACCTTTTTGTCATTACAGAATCCAACATATTCTAAAAATATAAATACTTAGTCTTGAAGATTTATGATGGGTTCTCATTATATAAATCTCTAGCCTGGAACTCTCTAAGTAGACTAGGCTGGCCTCATAGTCTGCCACTGCCTTCTATATTAGGATTAAAGTCACAGGTTACCACACCCAGCCCGGGTTTTTTTTTTTTTTTTTTTTTTTTTTTTTTTTTTTG